GGGGCGCTGAGGGCCGCTCATTGCGAACGACGGGCCCTCGGTCCCCAGCGTGGCCGCGCTGAGGAGCAGCCTTGTCCCGAGGGTCTCAGGAACGTGCCCTGAGCTGCGTCCCCTCCCCGTGACCTCTGTGGTCTGGGTCCGTCTTTTGCCTCCTCCTGCCCTCACACCCCAGCGGCGCCTGGTTAACGTTTCTGGCAGTTCCTCCCCCACTGCCAGCGAGAATCCTGCCCGGCCCTGCTCAGCTCCCACGCCCAGTCCTGCTCTCCATCTCCCCGCTGGCCTCCCTCCTTCCACCTCCTGCCAGACAAGGCGAGGCCCCAGGAGGCTGCGGGGCCCAACCCCCACAGCTGGACGGTGCCCCCAGCGGAGTCCCAGCGGCCAGGCCTCCTGATCCCTGCCGTGCAAATGTCCTGGGGCCGAGGCTTCCCCGCTGTGGCCGGGGAGGCCTCCCTCTAGGTGACAGAGCCCTCGTTTGGCTGGTTGAAGGACCCTCGGGTCCTAAAGGGTCAGAGCGACTGGGCCCCTTGGGACTAGTTTTCTCCGAAGGGGACCTGGGCCCGTTTCCTCCCTGGACCTCTCGGGGGCTGGCTCAGCTTCCCACGTCGCTGGGGGGGTTCGTGCCCGGACGGGGGCGTGGCATATGGAGTCCATGCCTCCCGCCGAGCCCGGCATGGAGAGAGCAGGGGTCTCCTGACCGGCCCCTCCGTCCTCACGAGCCTGTCTCCTCCCAGTACCCGGAGGGCGACGGGGACAGCGAGCCCTACTACTACGAGTACCCCTACTACGAGGACACGGACGACCCCAACAAGGAGCCCACCGCCACCAAGGAGCCCGTGGAGGCCGCTAAGGAGACCACGGAGATTCCCGAGGTGAGGCCGGCGGGCAGCGGCCGGGGTGGGGCGGGGGAGTGGGAGGGGGAGGAAGGAAGCTGTGAGAGGGAATGTGGGGCTGCCCAGCAGGCGGGGGTGGAGGCTCGGCCCCATGTGATGGCCCCACGTGATGCGTGTTGGGAGAGGGTGTCCGCAGTGACGTGTGACCTCGGGCTGAGGGGTGAAGGGGCTCTGTCCCCTCCCCAAGGTGCTGGGAGACTGGCTGATCCTGTTCTGTCTGGAATGTTCTCTCACTTTTTTTTGTTACTCCTCACCCAGGGATGTTTTCCCATTGATTTTTAGAGAGAGTGTAAGAGAGAGAGACGGAGAGAACTATTGATGTGAGAGACGCACATCGATTGGTTGCCTCCTGCACACCCCTGCCTGGGGCTGGGGATCGAGCCTGCAACCGAGGTACGTGCCCTTGACTGGGAATCGAACCCGAGACCCTTCAGTCCTCAGGCTGGCGCTCCATCCACTGAGCCACACCAGCCAGGGCACGTTCTCTTACTTCTACGACAAGGGTCTGAGATACAATTCACCCTTTTCCAGTGTGCGGTCCATTCCCAGCATCCTCCTGGCTGGGCTGCCTCCTCCTGGGGCCCGGGGTGGCCCGGCACCCAGAGTCCACGGGGGTGTTGGCTGAATGGGCCAGGCTGTGGGGCAGAGGAACCCCAAGACCCAGCCCTGCCTCTCCCCGCCCTCAGGAGCTGACTGTGCCCCCCACGGGGGCCCCTCCCGTGCCCGACACCAGCGAGGGGGCCGGGAAGGAGGACCCGGACACACTGGACTATGACTACGTGCCCAGCGAGGACTACTACACGCCGTCCCCGTACGAGGACAGCTACGGCGAGGGCCTCGGGGCCGAGGTGCCCACCAGCACGGCCGGCACCGCCAACGCCTCCAACGTAATTGCTTTTCTCCCACGTGGGCTCGGCCGGGGTCGGGAGGTCAGGACCCTGGGTCCTTCTCTCGGCCTCTCCCCGGGGGTCCGGTGCAGGCGGAGGTGGGCGAGGACAGGTGCTGGCGGACCGACCGTGTC